TCATGTGTCGTGAGCATCCAGAGTCCAGGTACCATGATTGGTGTCCTGACTTTGCTGCTAAGGACATCTGCAACAGGGATTATTTTGTCTTTAGGTACCCAGATCTTCTTGGGTCCTTTAGGGTTAGTTGCCTTGTAGGTTTGTCTAAACTTTTGTTTTTCAACATAGTTTTTGTTTAGACTTGCCTTAGATCTAAACACATGAGTATTCTTTTCAGAGCTCGTGTGTTTAATATCATTTAAATGACCAAATTTAAATTTAGAGTATAAAGGAGTTATCTTAATGATCAGATCATCTACAGGTATTGGTCTTACATCTTTTTCAAGAGAAGAAGATTGAAATCCAATTCCCTTTCTTTTATTCCTACTAACTCCATAGATCATAGAAGCCATTTTGCTTCTGTCTATGCTTTTAGTGAGGAACTTCTGAAAACTAAAGTCATATTTTTCCAAAATATTTTCAGATGACTTAGCTTCAGAGTCAGATTCTTGTTGGGCAATTTCCAAATCATTTTTGATTTTTAAATTTATTTCTCTCTGCTCAACAAGTTCTGTTTTCAGATTATCAATCTCAGATTCAAGATTGCTTTTCAGCTTCTTGTTCTTGAGTTTGATATTATTGTAGCTTTTCAAAACTTCAGATAACACCTTTATAAGTTCATCTTTGGTAAGTTTGGACATTACCTCTTCAGCGTCAGAGTCGGAGTCTGACTCAGATTCAGATGATAATTCTTCATTCTGATCTTCTATTCCAGCCATTAATGCCATGTTGGCACACTCTTCTTCTGCTTTAGATTCAGATTCATATTCATCTGAATCATCCCAAGTTGCCATAAGAACCTTCTTCTTTTTATCAAACTTTCTCTTGGGTTTCTCCTTGAGAAGTTTGGGGCAGTCATTTTTGTAGTGCCCAGGTTCCTTGCATTCATAGCATGTGACCTCTTTCTTTCCAGATCTTCTGTGTCCAGAAGATTCCTTCCTGTGGTCAGCTTTTCTGAAGTTGTTAAACTTCTTTCCCTTGTGCTTCCAGAGCTTGTTGATTCTTCTGGAAAGCATGGACAGTTCATCTTCTTCTTCAAAAGACGATTCTTCAGAACTTTCTTCTTTTACCTGCAAAGCTTTAACAGGTTTGTTAGATTTTAAAGCTATGGATTTACCTTTATCTTTCTTCTGGGGTTCATCTTCCTCCAGCTCTATTTCATGGCTTCTCAAAGAACTGATAAGTTCTTCTAAGGAGATCTTGTTCAGATCTTTTGCCATCTTCAATGCAGTCACCATTGGTCTCCATCTGGTGGGAAGACTTCTGATGATCTTCTTGACATGATCTGACGTTGAGTAGCCCTTATCCAGAACTTTCAGACCAGCAGTAAGAATCTGAAATCTAGAAAACATAGTTTCAACATTTTCAGACTCTTCCATTTTGAATGCCTCATACTTCTGTATGAGCGCCAGCGCCTTGGTCTCTTTAACCTGAGAATTTCCCTCATGAGTCATTTTGAGTGACTCAAACATGTCATGAGCAGTATCTCTGTTTGTAATCTTCTCATACTCAGTATGAGAGATTGCATTAAGCAATATAGTTCTGGCTTTGTGGTGATTCTTGAAATCTCTTTTCTGTACTTCAGTCATTGATTTTCTATCAATCTTTTTGCCATCCTCATCAGTAGGATGTTTATATCCATCAATGACCATATCCCAAAGATCAGCATCATACCCAAGGAAAAAACTTTCTATTCTATCTTTCCAATAGTCAAATTTTTCCCCATCAAACATGGGTGGCTTGGTACTGATCCTATCTCCTTCATATTTGTTGTTGCAAGTTGATGTAGATGTATCCATATTGACAACAAAACAAATATCAAAGTATCTTTCTCACAGGATCTTTAACTGTCACGGTTAAGTGGAGCACACGCAGAACCGGAGCTCTGATGCCAACTGAAGGTGAGAAAATTACTTAGAAGGGGGGGGGGGGTTGAATAAGTAAGACTAAAAATCAAAGATTAGAACGCAGATATTTTTATCCTGGTTCGTTGAAAACAACTACTCCAGTCCACCCTCTCAAGAGTGATTTGCCTTTCTCTGTCAAGGACTTAATCCACTATTTTAATCAAACAGATTACAAATAGCAACACCTAAGAACAACTGTTCTTAGTCTTCTCAAGAGCAACTGATCCCAACTGGATCCTCTTAAGGAAAACCTTTTACAAACAATGTAAAACTTTTACAAGAGTAAGAATGCTTCTAATAAGCTGTTATCACAACAGTGATGTTTCTCTTAAGTTAAGAACAAAGTTAAAGCAAAATAATATAATTAAGAGCTTTGAAAGATTTGCTTTGAGGAGTGATTTTGCTAGAGATTCGATACTGAAGAAGATGGAGTGGACTTCTTTATATAGGCACTAAGATCCAAGAAGTCTTGTTACGTTGAAGGCTGTGCAGAAAAGCCTGAAGCCTTTTGTCTTCACATTGGAGGCTGTGCTGAAACAAGCCTGATGCCTTTTGTCTTCACTTGCAGAAAACTTTCCTCAGAATGGAATGCACAGATAAAACCTTTTTGTCTGTGTCCTTGTGTCTAGCACAAAATAGGAAAGAGCTGTTGAGAAAAACCAACGTACATATTTAAATCTTCTTCAAAGTAAGTTCAGCTTTCAACATTAGAATCTGAATCTTCAGAGTCTCCAGACTAAGGATCATCTGGATCTTCAGAGTCTTGAATGTTCTTCAGATTGAGCTGAATCAGAGTATGTGCAGCTTGTGTGCTTGAGCGTGTAAATCTCTCAGAGCAGAGTCTTCTATGCTTTAGAGGCTCCTTCTTCAGAATCTTCAAGAGACAATAGTCAGATTCTTCTGGGAGCAGTGTTCAGATCTTTAAGATGCTCTTGAACTTATGAAGCCTTTCATAAAAACAATGTTCAGATCCAATTTTGCTTTCTTAAGATAATTTTCTTTAGTGCCTGTAGCAAACAATCTAGAACACGTTTAGAGTATATAATTCTTGAATACAAAATTTATAAGTGTTATCATCAAAACATAGAGATATAACTAAGACACAATCTGTGCTCTTATAAAAAGAAATCCTGATGGAAGTTTGGCACGATATAAAGCACGATTGGTTGCAAAAGGATTCACTCAAACATCTGGCCTTGATTTTAAGGAAACCTTTGCACCGGTTGTAAAACCTCAAACCATTAAAGTGGTTTAGCACTTGCTCAAGGGTGGTAGTTACATCAAATGGATGTTAATAATGCCTTTTTATAAGAAAAATTGGCTGAAGATGTCTACATGCAACAACCACCCGGATTTATTCATTCTAAATTTCCTTAACATGTATGCCAACTCAAGAAGGCTAAATATGGTTTAAGACAAACACCTCGAGCATGGCATGATTCTCTCGAGGCATTTGTTCTTCGGTTGGGTTTCATACAAACTTAAGTGATTCATCTTTGTTTATTTACAATAAACATGGTGTACAAAGCTTTTTTATTAGTATGTGGGTTTCATACAAACTGATTCATCTTTGTTTATTTACAATAAACATGGTGTACAAGCTTTCTTATTAGTATGTGTTGATGATTTACTTTTGACAGACAGTGATACTACTTTTTAAAATCTACTTTTTAAAATCATTTCATGACCGAACTTTCCAAGAAGTTTTCTCTCAAACAATTTGGTTTCCCTCATTATTTTCTTGGAATTGAAATGATTCCAATCAAGGAGGGTCTTTTATTATCTCAACATGGTTATATTATATTAGAGAACTCGGATAAGTTCAATATGGCTGGAGCATACTCCTCTCAAACTAAATGATGGATTTGCCTCTGCTGCCAACAAAGCTATTTCGTAGTATCATTGGTGCATTGCAATATGTCACTTTGACAAACCCAGATATATCTTTGCAATTAATAGATTGTCACTCACAATTCGTGCATCAACCAACTCAAGTGCACCTAGCAAAACCACTTCATTACGGATGCTGATTGGGAAACTTCTACTTTAAATTACATAATTTACTTTGGTTACTTGAGCATAATTATAAATTGTTCCTATATTTAAGGTAGAAACCCTCAAATGTATTTACAAATAGCAAAGAGGGAGAATGGTGTCTTATGCTAGTTCAATGCAACTAATAACCCAATACAATACATAACTGCCGTATGACCACAAGGGTACATAGTTATGAATCAAACAAAACAATCAAATAGAAAAACATGAAGTAATTTGATGGAGTTAATCATTTCAATGGATCGTTTTATACAAAAAGATTCAGAAGTAAAAAAACGAGACACCGGAACACTAAACCATAACAAAACAAATACCATATCCAAATAACTAAATTATCCATCTAAAGAAGAATTTCATAATCCTAAATCCCGAACGGGTAAAAACTTAAGCCTATTCCCTCCAGTTTCCACCACTGCCACCACCACGAGAGTAGCCACCACCACCGCTGCCACCATATCTATCACCACCGCCGCCTCCACCGCCATATCTATCACCGCCGCCGCCTCCATAGCCACGATCTCTTCCGCCATCATTTCCTCCACCACCATAACCACCTCCTCCACCGCCATCATTACGGATGCTGATTGGGAAACTTCTACTTTAAATTACATAATTTACTTTGGTTACTTGAGCATAATTATAAATTGTTCCTATATTTAAGGTAGAAACCCTCAAATGTATTTACAAATAGCAAAGAGGGAGAATGGTGTCTTATGCTAGTTCAATGCAACTAATAACCCAATACAATACATAACTGCCGTATGACCACAAGGGTACATAGTTATGAATCAAACAAAACAATCAAATAGAAAAACATGAAGTAATTTGATGGAGTTAATCATTTCAATGGATCGTTTTATACAAAAAGATTCAGAAGTAAAAAAACGAGACACCGGAACACTAAACCATAACAAAACAAATACCATATCCAAATAACTAAATTATCCATCTAAAGAAGAATTTCATAATCCTAAATCCCGAACGGGTAAAAACTTAAGCCTAATCCCTCCAGTTTCCACCACTGCCACCACCACGAGAGTAGCCACCACCACCGCTGCCACCATATCTATCACCACCGCCGCCTCCACCGCCATATCTATCACCGCCGCCGCCTCCATAGCCACGATCTCTTCCGCCATCATTTCCTCCACCACCATAACCACCTCCTCCACCGCCATATCCTCCACCGTTTCTGTTGTATCCACCTTCACGGCGACCACCTCCACCATAACCACCACCTCCGCCATAACCACCACCACCTCCGCCTCCTCCTCCTCTACTACGTGACTGAGCTTCATTCACGGTAATATTACGACCATCAACATCCTGACCGTTCATCCCTTCAATCGCATCTCTCATAGATTGTTCCGCAGCAAACGTCACAAATCCAAAACCTCTTGATCGTCCAGTATCACGATCCAAAATAACCTGAACAATCAAAACAACAACAACAAAAAACTCAGATCTAATAACAACAAATACGAAGAACAGTTCTAGAACCGAATAGTAACCGATCAATCTTCGCCTCTTTGTTAAAAGATGAAGATGAACGTACCTATTGGTGTGAGTAACATAAGAATCATATGATACAGTAACAGAAACAGTAACAGTAACAGGATAGATCAAGTAACAAAGAGATCACAGATCAGAATGCGATTCGAATCCAGATCGTGTCAGATCCAATGCCTGCAAAAACGGACCTTGGAATCGGTAACATCGCCGTAAGTAGAGAAGGCGTTGGCAAGGCCATTGCTGTCAGTGGTCCAGGCAAGGCCACCGACGAAGCACCGGTACTCAGCATCAGAAGAGGCCATCGAAAAACTCAAATTAGGGACGGAGAAGGAACAGATATAAAAGAAAGATATTTTGGGCACTGAATGCAAGGGGTATTATATAGCTGGAGATTTGTTAATTAGGTTACAGATTGGGTTAAAACTAGGGCTACGTGGAAACCTATCCTACCCTACTCATTCATGAATCATAAAGCTGTGTGTAAAGTCCACTCTTCTTATTACTCGTGTGCGCCGCTGGGCCATCATGTGGTATATTCAGTGAGATATTTTTCTCTCTCATTTAAAATATCTCTGTCCCTATTATAATATTCAGTCCTTACTATTTAAAATAAATAACAATATATATATATATATATATATATATATATATATATATATATATATATATATATATATATATATATATATATATATATATATATATATATATATATATATATATATAATCTCTACTATTAATTTTAAATTTAGGCGTAATTAGTCTCTAGGTCCCTTATCTTTCAGCGAAGTTTCGCTTTAATCCCTGAACTAAAAAAATGTTACATAATGATCACTTAACTTCACTTCCGTTAAATCATTTGGTCTCTACCGTTAGTTTCTGTGAAAAATATTAATTATGGCTGAGATAGCATGTCAGGTAAGCAAATGATATATTCTATGTTAAAAACACTCTAGAATTCATGGGTTCCATCTTCCATTTAGAGTGTTCACTCATATTTTGTTCATCTTCCATTTTCTCCTCCTTCCATTTTCTTCTTCAAAATACTAAAAGAAAATTGAAGATTGGAACTTACAACAACACCATTTTCTTGCCAATTTCTCTTCCATTTTCTGTGACACAACTAAAATGGATGGTTGTTTTTCTTCTTCAATTTTCATTTGGGTATCTTGTTTTGAATCTTCTATGAGAACACAAAAGGTAAACTTTTTTAATTTTTAAAATTTTGGGTTTGTTCTGCATCTTAGAGGAGAAAAGATAAGTGTTGGGTTTGGTTTTTGGAGGTGAGGAAATAAAGGTTTATAGTGACAGTTTAAGGTTGAAAATTTTGATGAAAGCTTAGAGGTTGAAAAATTGATGCTTGATTTTGTAATTGTTGAGGTTCATTGAGAGAGAGATGATGAAATTGGTATTGGAGTGGTGGGTGGTTTTTTTTATTCATCAATTTCCATTTCCATTTGGATATCCTATTTTTGATCTTCCATGAGAACACAAAGGGTAAAGTTTTTCAATCTTTGGAATTTTGGATTTGTTCTGCATCTTAGAGGGGAAAAAGTTGAAAAAATTGATGACGGTTTAGAGGTTGAGGTGAAAATTGAGAAGAAGAAGGAGAAATGGAAGAAAGAGTTTCTTTCACGAGAGAGAGTGTTGAACTTCTGTAGAGAGGAATGATTCTTGTGCCACGAGCTTGGTCAAATATGTAATATTGTAATCAATATGAAATAAATTAATATTCTGACTCAACAACTACATGTCCAGCTAATTAAAGTTTAACGTTTTTTCACCAAAAACTAACGGAAGAGACTGAAATATGTAACAGAGTATAAGTTAATGGACCACTATGTAACGTTTTTTTTGAAGGATCAGAGAGAAACATTGACTAAAGTTAAAGGATCAAAAGAGGTATTAAGTCTAAAATCTAATATTTCAGATTCATTCTCATGTTTTTAAATAAAAATGGGATTCTCATATGACACGATCGGAATCTGAGATGGGCCGAAGACGAATGTCTGTGATGTTGGGTGTGAAAGAGGAGAAGGGGGTGTATCTGCAAAGCACTCCGATGCTAAAGTAAGAAAACGAGTAAGAGAGTGAGCAAGTACGGAATGTGTGTGTTTCAGGGTAAGAAATTGGATACACGACCCTCTCAAATGAGAGGGTTTTTATAATTCCCCCAGCGCTTGGCCATAGGCCCCTATTTTGGGGCGAGATAACTGTTTCTTGAAGAATAGGTAACTGCTAGAAATAGCCATTGGGATGGGCAGACATGCCTATAACTAGTCGTTGTGACGGGTAAGGGTACAGTTACGGGCACAAGTGTCTTGGCTATTTCTGAATGGTGGAACTGTGTGTGACGGGGGAGGAGTGTTGTGACTAAGGGTAAATTGATCATCCTCTCCAGTACGAGGGGCAGAAAGGTAAACTCTCCCCCAAAGAGGTTGGACAAAGGCAATTGAGTCGTTCTGGGAGCATAAGTGAATTGGGCCATGCCTAGTCGTCGGGACAGTCTGGAACAGTAGCCCCCCAAGTTGTTGCTACCGAGCATGGTAGTGATGACTTAAGAGTGACCTGCTTCCCAGGCAGAGTCGTCGTACGTTTCCTCGTGTTTGGGTGAGTACTTGTTTGTGGTTATTGGAGCCGGGGATCTTGAGATTCGGGGAGCCCAACGGTTAGTGGGATCTGAAGAGTGGGGATGTCACGTGTGCCTCGAGCCGTGTGCTGCATTAAATGTATGATGATGGCTAGACCAGGGTCATGATGATGCCCTACGCGCGCGTGCCCGTGCACGTTCTTGGAACTTGCCTATAAATAGTGAAAGAGTCCATTCATTCAGAACTTTTACTTCCCTCTCTATCCGTGCCCGTCTTTGTAACCGTCGTTCGCTGTCGTTAATTCTGCTCCAACCACTGTACGACGCCCGATCAGAACCGCACTCCTTTCAGTTCCTCTTCCTCGACCAAGTAAGTGCATTAATCCTCTGCTTGTTCTTTGGTTTTCCTTGTTTCGATGCTTTAGATCGCATATGGTTAGGACTGAAACAATTTAGTTAGGGTGTGTTTAGTGGTGGCTGTTGGTGGTAGACGGTGGCGCGGCCATCTGTCTGCCATCGACGCTGTAGTTGGCTTTTTTAGGAAGAGTAAGCTAACAACCCTTAGGCTTAGATGCCTCGTGGTAGGGGAGACATAGTTGTGTCGCCGTTAGGTTGTCATGACCTCTGGTGGTTTCCTTGTGAGGCCACTGGATTTTGCGGTCGAGGCTATCCTCGGAGGCTTTGGGTAGAACTGTCGGGCACTTCCCCGTTTATATAGCTGCACCATTTGAGTAGGGCTTAGATCGAGGATGCTCTTCTTCTGCCCTTTGCGCGCCCTTTCACTTGACTAGAAGTGGAAGGGTGGATTTGATTTTGCCATCAAATTCACTATTTTCCTATGCTTTTCAGGTAAAAGAGATGTCGTGCAGGGAAGAAGAGCATCTCAGGGATTCATCTGAGGACAGCTCCTCTAAGAGTACGGTTATAGATGATAGTTCCTCGTCTTCGGAGGTCGTGGGGACATCTACTGCACTGTCACTTGTGGACGAGTGGATCTTGGCCGAGCCTATGGAGCATGCGTCCATCTTTGCTTCTTATACTGGGGACGCCTTCACCATGGTGGGACCTGAAGAAGAATGGAAGGTGCATTTTCCTTTTGGAGAAGACCGCATTTGATCAGCATACGGGGAGCGATTCCCTATGTATGAGTACGTTTTTAAGGAGATAGGGTTGAGGTTGCCCTTCACCGGTTTTCAGCGCGCCGTCTTCGTCCATCTTGATCTGGCGCCTTCTCAGCTACACTCGAATTCTCTCGCGTTCATCCGGGCATACGAGCTGGTATACAAGCATCTGCAGATCGGGGAAACCCTTCCCCTTTTCTTCACCATCTTCCACCTTCAATGATAGGTGTCGGGGAAGAGGTTTGGTTGGGTTTCCTTGAAGCAAGAGAGGAAGATGTTCAAACCTTTCTCCGAATCTATCCAGATGTTCAAGGAGAGGTTTTATGTGATCGAGCCGGTGTCGGAGGTGGCCACTGATTTGAAGTTTGTCTGGGAGGTCTCCACGGATGAGAACGGGGAGGACTTGGTAGATGAGGAGGGCAAGATAGTCGCCCGAAGACTTTTTACTTTTCCTTTTTGTTGGAGCAGGGCTCACTTTACCCGCCCAACCGACGAGTATATAGTTGCTCCTCACCAACTAGCAGAGGATGACCAACTAAGTCAAGCTGGTGGCTTACGTGGATAGCTTCCTCCCTGCCCAGTGCGTGACTCACGCCGGACAATTTCTGTATGAGGAAGACGGTGGGTTGCAGGTGGAACCCCGATATATCAACACAAAGGAGCTCCTCGAGTGCCGTACTCGCGGGGAGGCTCTTGAACTCCTGGGTAGTTGCCACTTCTTCCTTATTCTGCTCAAAATATTTCTTTCCCTATGCTTATAGGTCTATTATTTTTGCAGGTAAAATGCCTTCAGCGCATGAGCGGATGATAAAGCATGTTCAGGGGAAGATGAAAAGTGGTGCTGCCCTGGGTAAGAGTCGTCTCGATCAACGGAAGGTTCCTCCTGCATCTGGTTCGGGGACATCATTTTCCACTCCTCCGCCACCCAGACATTGCCCCTGCCCGTGAGCTCGAGGGCCAAGCGTCCTCAGGAAAACGAGGTGGTGGACCTCAGCCGGGAGTCAGCCAAGAGCAAATATGAGCTTTCCCCCTGCTTTATCGACAAAAAGTTCTTCGAGGGGGCCTCTCCATCCGTTCCTCGGGAGGAGTCAATGAGGCTCGAGGAAATGGATCTTCCTGTTAAGTGGGTCAGTCTTTCCCAGGATTTCTCTGCTCTAATGAGGGTCCTAGAGATGGTTGTAGTCTATACCGAGGAGAGCTCTCCGCTGGAGTTGGAGTTGAAGAAGTCTCAGGCCGCGGTGACGACTTTGGAAGAAAAGGTTAAGAAAATCCAGGAGGAGAGAAAAAAGGAGCTTGAGGATGCCCGTAAAAGCCACGAGGAGGTGGCTCAGAAGAGGGATGTTGTGGTCGCCAATCTGAAAGCTTTTGAGGACTTGCTGTAGAAACTACAGACTGCGGCTACTCTTACTGAAGATGAGCCCGAAGAGACGAGGCAGCTGACAACTCGCTCGGAGTTAGTTGCCCGGTTCGTCTAGGCTGCTAACGACTTGGTGGCTATCGATGATGAAGCCTTCTAGAATGCGGTGGACCAGATGAAGGTGGTGAACTCGGGGGTCGAGCTGAAAAATGAGGGTACATGGTTTCTTTACAC